AACTTACATAGATTGTATCAAACAAATAACTTTTGGTCTGAATCTTAAAGTTTCCCACAGGGAAGCAACAATATCAAAGTGGCCTAGGGATAGCTTTACAGACAGATTAAATTATTAAATGCAGATCTGCATGGAGATGAAGAGGGTCTGGTAGCACTGTAAAGCTGTCATTGTAGCTCCGTTTATATTCATGTTGCACCAATTATCAGTTTCAGTGTTAATATTTTACAATTTGGCACTTGATAGTGAAGCTTGTATTTTGACCAGGTAAAAGTGTAACTTTTTCTCCAGCTTTTTGCTTGATGAGTTTGTTAGAGCTCTTCGAGAATTCTGACTTGTGTAAACAGAAAAAAAATCCCTCTAAACAGAAACTTTAATAAAGCTGTTATTTCCAGTTCCAGTGCATCATGTGACTTAGCACAAAGTCAGATTACTTACCCACAGATGTGATTGTCATGGAATATCTTCCTTAAAACWTAAATGGATTTCCATAATGTTAACAATTAATTCTGTGCTGGAGAAAATGCTTTTCAGAAGACATCTAATAATACTCAGTATCTCTGCTTTTGACTTTGTCTGGAATGGAAAGTCTTTCTGCAGTTGTTGATATGAGCCCAGTTAATCTCAGTTGTCTCTTACTATCCCTGATTCCGGTTTCTTCTSTTCCTCATAAAAATTTTCTGTTTTCTTTCTAAAGAAAATGGACAAAATGCARCCTCTCCCTCCCTTTTTCCTCAAGTCTTTTACATACTAGTTTCCAAATCCTCTGTTTTCTCCCTTCTTATAGCCACAGAAAGTATAATTTGGTTTATGTTGTTAATCTTTTTTTTTACCCAGTAACATCATTCTGCCTTCTAATCTGCTTTTCCTTCTTAACATTTCACTTTCTCTAATATTAGGATCTTCCAGTTCATAACTGAAAAACAGAGTATTTTCTTTAATGCATTTGGGTCAGCATCAAACAATATGAATTGACATTGTCTTTTTTTTTTTAATGTGAAAGGGAAAACATAATACTGTTAGATTTTTCCTTCAATGCATTTGATTGTGTTATTTTAATGTCTTTTCTATATCCCCRTGGCATTTTGTAGGAAGGAGATTCATAAGTTTGTTTTATAATAAGGATTAAATAACATTCATTTGTTTTTCTAAACCTGTAGAAATATTTTGGTTTAGAAAATACTCTAGCAGAATATTTAAGTTAGATGCTCTCTCCAGATTTTCATCCAGTTTATATCTAGCAGTTCTTTCTGTGCAACACTTCTACAGTACAGTCACTTAGTTGCATTTCCATCCACTCAGAGTTCTGAAGCATCTTCTCAACCACACAATGGTGGTCTTYTCAACCCACCATTCTACTGGTGAAATCCTTTTGCCTGGCCTTGACAAAGGCAGCCTTGTCCTTCTCCTGTCCATGCAGGATTCTGCTGTAAAGCAATGGTATTTCTAGTCTGTGCTTATGTAACTTTGTAATACATTGAATTTTTCAGTTGCTTTCCTCCTTCTCTATTATACCGCACAGAAGCTACATGTCTTCTGTTTCCTGGTACTTCAGGACTCGTTCACACTCAGTCATCACTCATTTACTATTCACTGTTTCTGACRGGCTAAACCTTACTCTGATACCCTTTGTAGTCAGTTTAACTCTGTCATAAATTGATTTCTAAGGCCCTCTTAGGACATCAGTAAAGGGTACAAATAGATCCCAATTAGGAAAAGATCATCACCTTCTCTCAGTATGTCAAAGCCCTTAGAGGATTTGGGGACAGTGTTGCTCAGCTCCCTGCTTTGTGTTACATCTTTTTTTTGTGGGCTTGTAGCATGGCCTCGATCAAATTTGAGCCCTAAGTTTGAACAGCGTCAGTTGGACTGTACAAAAATTCCTGGCTCAAGAAAATAATAAGATGAATAAGCACCATAAGGATAATGTATTACAATTTAAGAAGACCAGAAAAGTAATAGCTGCACTTGTGATAGGCTGAGGCTTTCAAGTGTGCTGTGTATACTGTGACTGCTGAATCAAGTCATCTTCTTTTAAACTTTCCATTTAGTTTCTTCTGTTGAAGTTGGGAATCAAGTTTCCTGTTCTATGAATAACAAGAATCAGAGAATGAATGTATACTTGTAATTAATTTTCAGCAGTGTACAATTTGCAAGCAGTTTGAAATTTATTCTTGGCATTGAATAATGAACTTTGGAGAAATAACTGAAGATTTAAAATTCCAAATTTGCAGCTTGGGAGAGGGAAGTCAGAGAAATTTGTTGAGGTCCTTCTTCAGTAATAAGAATACATCTGATAGCATCAGTGAATGTTTATTAATGAGAATTGGATTGCTACTTGAAACTTCTGCTAAACTTTTGGGAAATGTTCTGTTGAAAAGAACTTGTTAAAATGTCAGTTAAAGGGATATTATTGTAGGTATCATGTCTTCTATCATTTGAGAATCTAAAATGCATTTGGGCTTTATATGTCAGCTGAAATGACTTGCTTATAAAGTTAACATTTATCTTATGGATAGGGATTTGTGCTATTTTGGTTTTAGGTCTGATCTTATGCCCATGTCAGCTGTTGCTGGAAATGATAGAGACATTTAGAATCTGGAAGAATCAACTTCACAAAATCATCATGACTCCTTGGAAGTATGATGCCAGGTTCCCAAATGAGTCAAGCCATATTTGAAAAATCTGTGGACCCAATTTACATTTTTTTCTGAGAGAATCATAAAGGAATGTGCGGATAATTCAAAGTCTCTTCTCAGCTACTTTCATTCCCTATGCCATTGGCTACATTCCATACAGTTTTCTATTTCCTGTGGTACAACTCTATGTGCCAGTGCAAAAGAAAATAGAAACAACCATGGTGTGATAAGCATGGCAGCATAAAGTAAAGACAGTGTAATTTTTTATTTCTTTAAGGCAAATAATGAGGAGTTAAAATGAAAAAAATTAGTATTAGGAGCTCACTTTAGAGATGTGATGTAGTGAGAATGCATGAGAGATCTGAATGTTTTGGAAGCTTTCAGGGTGGAAATTAAAGCATTGCTTGCTGAAATTTGGATGGCATTATTCCTTTCCCACTATCCTGGTTTTGCTCGGTCCRATTTTTGGTGATGGGGGGKKGRAMYWARRAAMCMMMAARRWKGSYYC